CTGAAAGAAGCGTAGTCAAATATCACAAATGGAATGCTAATTTTCAAAAATCTTTTGACAGAAGTATCGCTTTCCAACTAACAAAATTAATGGGATAACGTCTAGAAACATAAAATATTAGTGATATTTTGCGAAACAATCCAATACCGAGTGCAAGTCTTCGAGGTTTCAACAAAAAAGAAAAATACTTTCACACGAAACACACAGTGACGATAGCGATTTTCAAACCGATATAAATTCAGTTCATGATAGCAGGAATAAAAAATTACCTCGAATAACACAAATAAGTACGATGACTTAAGAGCAACGACACTCACAGTAAATTCGTACAGCTTTTCTCTTTTCTGAAGAAGAAATTTGACCCCACCTTATCAAATGACCGCAAGTCATACAATTTGATTGTGTCAGAATTGATCCCTGCTGCAAATATCAAACCTTCCGGGTCAAAAGCGGCAACAGGTCTTGAAGGTACATGCATCAACCCCTAAAAACAATAAAATATGAAGTAGTCACCGTAACTATTTAAGACACTTTTTCCTACTTCAGGAAGGATAGGAAATTTACCCACGTTACCAAATGATCGCAGTGCAACAAGTCAGTGGAGCATTTCGCCCTAGGGCATTATGAAAATTTCTAGTTTTTAAAGAAGTTGAATGACAGGAAAGCATTAGAGCTCCAACATTAAAGAGGTCAAAACAAATGTGAAACGTACCTGGCAACTTTGTATTCGTAAATCCCATAAGCGGATTGTTTTATCCAAAGAACCAGATAGAAACATATCGTCTAATGGAGACATACACAGTGTCACTACCCTGACAGAATCAAAGTGAAATTAATTTCGGTGTAATTCAAGAAAATTAATTTCAGTGCAATTCAAGAAACGTACAGACGAGTAAAAATAAAAACTTACTTCTTTTGGTGTCCAGGAAAATACCTGATATACTTGTTATCATGCAATGACAGGTATCGGATAACATCTAAAAAAGTAAACACAACGAAAGATCCAAAGACTTTGTTGTTTAAAATTTATTTGGACTATTTATTTATTTATATAGAGGTATTGAACACCGCTCGATTAAGAGACGAATATGGAATCCTTATGCTTTAGAGTTATAGATGTTGCTTGCTAAGTTTGTCTTCTCGATCTCCATGTGATAGTTATATGAAGTGTTTGACTTCGCCTGACTATCAAAGACAATTGCATTAATTAGCAGTTTTAATGCCTGCTATTTTTACCAGTACTTGAAACTACTTTCATTCAAATGCTTCTTCAGATGTGGTTAAAATTGTAAAGAAATAAACCATCAATATTTATACAGTTAATTCAAACTAACCATCAACTTTCGTAGAACAGTGTATAGCGTTTGATGTATTGTGTGCGAATTGTATCAAATCTACGCCATATTTTTTACTGTTTACCTAAAGACTTATGTTCTATCCCAATTTGAAGATGAGGTTTAAAAAAGGAAGAGAAGACGGTCACACAAAAAACAATTACTGGTCATTTAATTTCGCACCTTATCATGTTCTAATTGAAATTTAGCACGCTAATGTTCCATATTTACGATTTAGAGGTTCAAAGAGAAATCCCTCTACATATAACCTGCCTAATCTTACTACCGCAAATGATATTACCGATCGACTTTTTTGTCCACTTATACAGTCATACATAATAATTGAATCGTCATCAGAAGATGAAATCATTTGTAAACCATCTGCACTGAAATCCAAACTGTTGATGGGGGCCTGAAATCGTAGTACTAAAATTAATCACACGACAGACTTGTGTCTTTAATACCGACTTAAAGCAACAATTTGTGTTTATTTGTTCTGACTGAATGAAAAGAGAGTCTTGCGTGTTTTAGATATGCAAATAAATATCATGCAACGATGTCTTCATGCCATGCTCCAACCTGATTATCGTTGAAACTTTTCGCAGGCCTCATACTCGCAACTGTCCTATCATTAGCTTTCATTTCGTCCAACTTTTTAAATGATGTGATCTGAAATATCACCGGTCCCATTTATACGATAAAAATATCTCCCTTATATCATCGCTTTCATATTTCAGGATGAAACACAAGATATAACTATTCAAGTACTCCTAAATCCAACATTCCATTCATCTAAGCCTAAAATAGAACGCCCCTAATACGATTAATTTCATGCTATTTTTCTTGTCTTTCATTTAATTTCCTTTGTCACAAACCAGTTTATCAGAAAACAGAGGACACCGCTTCTCTCCCGCCATCCAAACCCCACAGCAGCTCCCCCCGCCTTCAATCCCAGTCTCACAAGTTACCATCAATCCGACGACAGCTGTACATAATCAACAAGATCTGAATGAAAATATTGGTTCCTGCTTTCTGGGAAGAGGAAGCAGAAAGAAAGGGGGGTCCATAGGGTCGAGCAAAGCTGACTGAAACTATGGAGGTACCGGAATTGTTTTAATGGAATATTTTTGTATCAAGTTTCTCTGGCATATTATACCATTAGCAAGACAGGAGTGTTGTGTTGTCTGGACCAGGGAGTCCTCCCTAGGATCGATCTATCCTATAAGCCATCGCAATAGTCTGAGATTCACTTATCATTCTGTTGTTTCAAGTACTGAAAGGGAGAAAGTCATCTGCTATCGATCACTTTGAAAAGGATACGTTTTTTTTCCCGTTTTCTCCGTGAAATTTCTCAAAATTCCAAATTTATCATCTGAAATTCTCCTGATATTCTCTTTGCAAATCTCTTCTATTTCGTAGATCCCCATAATTCCGTAGTCTCTTGCCCAGTTTAAGTAGAGAAGGAATCTTTACACATTCCTTTTCTACTTAAACTGGGCAAGAGACAAATGTGTTGGGATAGGACAGGATTGTTCCGGAATAAGAAATGGTTCGATATTATAAAAATAACGAATTAACGTGTTCGCATAAATTTTATAGTAAATAAGATCATAATAAACAAAGTCCTTCATCGCTAACATACAGTTGTTGATTACTCAAGTTTCATCCGAAGAGTCACTGCTCATGAATGCTGTATTATTTTCAGACATGATGGCACAAAGTGGAATGTCTTTGCGGCCACTGAAAGATGATATCATTTAGGCTGTAAAAATATAACAAACAAAAAAATGGGAAGCTTTGGTGAGGGATTGACAAGTCCCGAAGTGGAAATTGCCGAAGGAGGAGTTATTATAGATAGTAAAACGTTGGTTCTTTAATTCAGAATTTATGAATTCAGGTAAGAGAAGGGGTATGATTGATTCGTTGTGAGATAGTACCTGATTTACAATTTCAGACGTTTTGCCGACTTAAAAGCAATGTTAGATAGCTCGAAGGATAACTTGAAGATGGATGCTATGAAGCGAATCATAAACGTAAGTTTATACAAAGTTTATGGGTTAAGAAGCAATGAACTATGGATGTCTGCTAAATTTTCTGCTTCATGAAGTACACTCACTAGCACTACCAAATAAAGTCCCTTAATTTATCTTTTTCCCTCGAATCTTCAGATGTGAGGGATTTTCATCAATATAAAATTCAAAACAAGGTTCGGAGATCAAGTTTCTTAGTCATGAAAACTATATTCGATTGAATAATATGTTTACTGTTAAGCTGGTAGCGAAAGGGCGTGATGTATCGGAGCTATTTCCTGCAGTCGTTAAGAATGTTGCTGCTAAAAATCTTGAGGTTTGCTGTGTGAAATTTGAATTCGAAGATAAATTTGATTATGAATATATTTCCTTAAATTTCTCAAAATATTTATATGTTGTTGGGTATAGTCGAAGTTCTTGCAGTTAAAAAAATTGGTTTTCGTTTATTTGGTGAGATATGCTGAAGAGCAGCAAGATTTGGCACTTCTTTCAATCAGCACTTTTCAGCGCGCTTTAAAAGTAAGTTTAAACTTTGAAAAACCAACAAAGAATATTTGTTCCGCAGCTAGTTTGATATGTTTTTAGAATACGCAGATAACAACGAAATCATGAAATTCTATTTTATTAATTTTTTATTTCACTTCAGGATCCCAATCAACTTATTCGGGCAAGCGCCCTACGTGTTCTGTCAAGTATTCGAGTACCTATGATTGCTCCAGTAATGTTGTTGGCTATACGTGAATCTGTCCGTGACATGTCCGCATATGTTCGAAAAGTTAGAAATTTTTGCATAATTCCTCAAAACATCTTTTCTAAATTCCTTCCATTTTAATTTTTTTTTTCGAACTGCTGATTTCAATATACAATCTTTTTAGGTAGCTGCACATGCAATACCGAAATTGTATTCACTTGAAGAAAATTTACAGCCGGAACTGATCGAATGTATTGACTATCTTCTCGGTGATAAGCGTACTCTTGTACTCGGCAGCGCAGTATACGCTTATGAAGAAACTTGTCCAGATCGATTTGACTTACTTCACAGACATTACCGTACTTTGTGTAAGGTGCTCCTTTCATGATTTGAATGATGTAAGAATCCGTCTAGTGAAATTTCGTTTCACTTTGTTACATACTTATGAGAAATCAATTTTTGATGTGTGGATTAAGGTAACAATACCGACTTGGAATACTTACGCTTGGAATGTTTAGACGTGCCAGTAGCATCATGACTACCATGAATTTATTTTCTTGCAAAGGGCATCCAGACATGTTCTCTCTGTATGTGGTGTTCATCTCATGAATATAATTTAGGCTATAGTGGATGTGGATGAGTGGGGACAGGTGGTAATGATTGGATTACTGACTCGTTATGCACGCAGTCAGTTTGTTGCACCATTGGAAGCAGTTGATCCAGATCTTACGCTTCTCCTTTCATCATGTCGTCCACTGCTACAGAGCCGAAATTACGCTGTAGTTATGGCTGTTGCCCAATTATTTTATCACTGCGCACCATCCTCACAACTATCGATTATCTCACGCGCGCTGGTCCGGCTGTTACGTGGCCCGCGTGAAGTACAGAATGTTGTACTTGTGAACATTGCAACGATTTGCGCAACTAACCCGGTACTTGGCGTGTCTAATTTTACTACTATAAACAATGTATGACTGATGAAAAAAATTTTGTCGAAGTGTGCGAGAAGGTGGTATATGCCAAGTACCAAGTAGCCAAGTAGCACATTTTTTTTTTTGGTTTACCTATATCCTTGTTTTTTCTCTTCAGTTTGCTTTTTACATCTGTGTGATTTTGTATTTCTTGTTCTTTTTTAATCTGCTTTTGAATTCAGGCGGAGTGCATTTATTTTCTTTCCAAGATCCCTGCCTTTTTTTTAGAAATATCCTGTTCGCTTTGAAAATTCCAGCTTGTTTATACCAAATCGTCCCGTACAACAGAATTTTGATAGCATAACATACCATATGCTATCCGTGCCACTACGGAATTCTTGTTCGTTAAAGTAGTTTACAGTGTCAACTGTCTAGTTGTTTATTTAATTTTTTAAAATCTGATCTTGTATGTTTTTTCTTTGTATTTTTAACTTCATCTCGATTTATTTTTCAGTTGTGAGGTAAGTCATTTATTTTGTTTGCAGATGGAATGCTTGCAGGTCCAACAGATACTTCTTATTCCACTTTGGAACAGAAAGATCTTTAATAGGAAATAGTTTTTTCTGTAATCAGTTACAGAAAGTTGAAATTCATGTGATATGCAATTGGCTCTTCCCATTGCTTGTTCACTACGATGATTATCAAAATTATTTATGAATTGTTTGAATTAAGACTTAACAGCTTTATATTAGTTAATTTTTTTGCTTTTTTCTTGAAAATTTTTTGCTCTAGACGTATTTTCTTCTCTGAAGCTTAGCTATGTTTTTCATTTTTTTGCAGAATATGTTCGAGTCATTTCTGAAAAGTTTTTTCATACGCCCGGCAGAACCGAAGCATATCAAATTGCTGAAACTACAAGTTTTGACCTCGTTGGTCTCAGAAACAAGTGTGCAGCTGGTTCTTCGTGAATTACAGGTATAAAGTGGTTTTGCATTTTTCTTTTGATCTCTGGTCATGTTGCAATTTTGGGAACACTCTGATTGCTTTAGCAAAATAGAGATTAGTGCGCTCTGATATTTGAAGTTAGCAAGATCTGGCACTTGATCGTATTAGGTTTTATTTTCCAGAAATTTTAGACCTACGTTGGCATGGCAGAAATGGCAGATGCTGCGATAGAAGCAATAGGACAGTGTGCTATTCGTGTCAGTTCTGTTGCTGATTCATGTCTCTCCGGACTAGTATCCCTAATTGCTTCATCGAACGAAAACGTTGTTTCTGCTGCTGTTGTCGTTTTAAAAAGGTCGCTCATTTTATACTGATTACTCATGACAAGTCAGTTTAAACTAGCTCTGTTCTATTGAAAAGAAATAACTGTACAAAGAATGCTTTAAATTTTTATAATGATGAGTAGGACAGTTAGAGAAATTACTATTGAGTTGAAGCTGGTAGTTTGAGATTATCTCAAAATTTCCAGCAATTTTTCTTATTAAAATATAAATGCACTTTTTCGTCTCTATATGTCTTTATATTTTCATATAGGATAGATTTGAATCTTTGCAGACTGTTGCACACGAATCCACCCTTACAGTTACTTACACGCGTACTTCGTCTTATTGATTCTGTCAAAGCACCACAGGCTCGGGCATGTGTGATTTGGCTTGTTGCAACACATGTTGATAAAGTAAGTATATTAGTAAATTGACGTGAAGAATGTTGTGAGATAGTTTCTTTAGCATTATGATTTGGAGTGGATTAAAAGTGGATATTTTCTAGAACTAGGTGTAACACCGCACATTTTGGGGAATATGCAGGATTAGTGGAGTTTCTGTTTCACTAATATATGAGAATAATCTGAGGTAACCTGCAAATAAAATAATTTTTTTAAAATTCGTGCGCCTTTTTAATCGAAGTCACCAAAAGCGTTCGTCCCGTGCAACAGTTCTAGCATGTAAATCCTTTAAAACTCTGCGAAAAAATATGTCAAGTACATACTGAAGTTCAGGTTTTGGAAATTTCGTGCTATTTTTCTAGGTTTCAACTCTAGCACCAGATGTTTTGCGCAAAATGGCTAAAAGTTTCACGCATGAAGATGAGATGGTAAAACTGCAAACAATGACTTTGGCAGCAAAGCTATGGTTCACAAATCGTCAGGAATGTGAATTACTAGTGCAACATATAATGCAGTTGGCTCGGTTCGACCAAAGTTACGATATTCGTGACAGATGTCGATTTTTGCGAAATCTGATCTTCAGCAATAATAAATTATCTATATTTGGTACCGAAATATTTATTACCGAGAAACCGTCACCAACTACACAGAGCACTTTCAAAGGTGAGATTAAGCTTTAAATAAATTTGAAATTTTAAGTTAAAGTTTTCTTGTGGGTGGGCGAAAGCCTTGACAAAACACAGCAGTAGTCTAGCTAATGATCTAGAAATTTCATTGCTTTTGAAGGAATTCATGCTTCTACAAAAAAACCGGGATGACTAATCATGTAATTATGTCATGTAAACTTTCTCAAGGCAGAAAATTTTCATCAGACATGTTTCTTTGCTGTATGATGAAGAATATTATTTGTCTCACTTTACATTCACCATATCATTTTGGTTCGTATGATGAAAGATAAGGTGCTAAAAGGGGAAGTATCCATTTGAATGAACGAGAGAATTTTTGAGAACTGAAGGTTGTTACAAATTGAAGTAGTAAAAGGAAGAGAAGAAAATGGCGAATGAAGAAAAAAATTTGGTGTTTCTTTGGTTCTGAAGGATCATTTTTGGATGCAATTTCTAATTCTAGACCGTGAGCAATTCCAACTAGGAAGTCTATCACACTTTCTCAACCAGCGTTGTAGACGATATCGCGATTTACCACAGTTTCCGGAAGTTGCACCCGATTCTTCCATACGAAATACAAGTCAGATGGAAGAATTAAGTGATGATATGCGAGTTATTGATGAAAACGAAGACGATGAAAGTGAAAACGAAGATTTTTATTCTGGCGATGAAGAACAGAGTGAGCAAGAAGAAGGAAGTGATGAGGAAGAGGTATATATTTGTGTACCAAATGGAAGGAATTGAAAAAAGAAGGAAATATAGAGAATAGATGTTTGAATTCAACTCAGTGCAAACTTCAATTTGGTTTGCTGCACATTAACAGATATTGAAAATTAACGCAGTAACTGCTCTAGAAATTGTCACTTTGTGGTCGTTGGGAGATGGGTTTTGATAGGAAACTTTTCAGGATGAAGGTGAAAGTGATGAGGAGGATGAAATTGCAAATGACGAAGAAGACAGAAAGGAAGGTAAAAGTGATGAAAGCGAAGAAGGTCGGGTTTCCGCAATAGCTGAGCCAAAAATGTAAATATTGTTGTAAGTATGGAGTTAATACGTCCAGCAAAAAATATGAAATGTGTATTAAACTACCATAGAATGTAGATTTTCATTCATTTTATTATTGGCTTTCAAGGTTCAATGAGAACGTTTGCATTTTTCAGGTCTGGAAATCTTGATCTTTTGCTGGATTTAAATTTTGAGTTAACACCGATTTTTGCTAATAATTGTGTCGCTGGACCAGAATTGGTGAAAACGTCGTTTATGCCACTCGTGAATCATACAGTCTGGTCCGCTGGGATCGGTATTGATATTTGTTTTCCACGTGAAACATCGCCAATATCGTCGTCAATGTGTGCTGTTTTATTTAGATTCACAAACAGTTTGGAAACGGAATCTGCAGAAATCACAGCTTTCCCGAAGGTTAATCCAATATTTATTTAGAGCGAAGACTTTCCCCAGAAATAACTCCCAGGTGGGTTTCAGTACTAAGGTTCCAATTTTATATTTTATTTCCCTGATGTTTCAACCATGATATTATAGAGTAATTCAACTCTGTCTTCTAATAACACACGCATGCAGTTTTCACACAAAATAAGGCCATATACTATACAGTAAATTTAATTCTCCCATCATTATGTTCTGTAATTTTTTGAAAAACAACTATTATCCGCTTCAACGAGTATTTTCTGGCCTTTGTAGTAATCTATTTCACCAGCTTGGACTTTCATCTTTTTAGGTATCATTTCTTCTTCCATAATATATGAAATATTTTTCAGGTCATAGACCAAGCGTCAACTGGTGACCAAATTAAGGTGAGCAGATTATCACCTGGTGAAAGTGTCATTAAGAAAGCCTACATCGACTTTGCTGATAGCAAACGGGCATCTGAATGGGTTATCAGCGCGAGAGATACCAATGAAATAATAATCAGCATTGAAGCTCCAATGGGCGAACAGATTGAACCAATAACAATGACAGAAGAACAGTTCATTAACGGGATTTTGCGTCTTAGTGGAATGAACGAACATTGCGGAAATCTGAAGGAGCCTTTGAGGCCGGAAGAGTTGTATGCTGTTGCAAACTGTACCAATGTTAACAGTTCCGAAGTTTGTTTTTTTAAATTAAAATGAGTATTAAATCACCTGGTGTTCTGAATACTAAACTTGGTCAGCTCGCAGCGTGGTATGCTATCTCATTTTTCCGATCTACTTTTTTGAGTGGTGATTGTACTTAGTCACAAATGAATATAACTGTTTTTTTTATTCATCTCAAAGCAGATTCTTTAAGAATTGTTGAAAATTTTTCACTTTAGGCTCATTTCTGTGCGCAGACCCTGTCTAAAAAGCAGCAGGTACTGATTGCTCTGGATTCAAAACAAGTCCACGTACACTGCGAGAATATTGTGCTTGGCGCACTGCTTTGCAATGATATTGTCAAGAAATCTTTGGAAACAGCACTGGCATCAAATCCTTGAGAAATAAATACTGCTAATTTGTTTTTCCTCTCACCTCTCAAACAATTCTTCCTTTTGCAAAAGAGAACATAAAGACAGTGCTGTCACCACTTACCGTGAGTCAGATACATTCACAATTCGATGAAAAAAAAATTCTTCGTTCTCATGAAGAATAAAGATATTTTGCATTCGTTGCGGAAGAATTGTATTATTAGATCGAATTTCTTCCAGTTAGCAAAAGCTGCAAATGCCTTGCATAAGTAGCTTGGCGGTAGGATAAGATATTCCCATCCCATGTTTCATACTTTTTACTTGCATTTTCTGTCTGTAGTAAAAATAGGTAACAAGGTAAGCTAACAAATGAAGTACTCAATTTCGCTGTAGTGCACCTCATAGTTTCAAACACTTCGAAACTGACTTATATTATGATCTTCCGAAACAAATGAAAAGCTTACCCTGCCAAGGAAACGGGCTTGGCAAGCACAGCTGGAAAAGATTATGTTGGGCTTGACTCTAGTCCGACTCTATGAAGAGTCATGAAAGGTGTAACATAAGTGGGAGGTTATTACATTATTGTCATTGATGGTACGAGGGTACCACTAGTGAAATACCACTACTTTCCTGATTCTTGGAGCTCTATGTGTTTCGAAATTTTTAATTCAAGTTGAACCATTCGGTGGTTTAACGATTCGCACTGAAGACAGTGTCCGGCGGAGTATTTTCCTGGGGCGATCATCTCTCAAAACGTAACGCAGGTATCCTAAGACTAGCTCTGAGAGAAGTAAAAGGGCAAAAGCTCACTTGATCTTGATTTCCAGTACTAATACAGGGCAGAAGCGTGACCTGTCGATGCTTTTAAATTTTCATAGAAGTTTGTTATAAAAATTACCACAGGGATAACTGGCTTGCGGTAGCCAAGCATCCATAGCGGAGTCATTGCGAAGCAGAATTCGCCAAGTTCACACACCAATAGGGGACGTGAGTTGGGTTTAAAACGTCGTGAGATAGGTCAGTTTTACCTAACTGTGTTGCGATAACAATCCTGCTCAATGCGAGAGGAGCCGTAAGTTTAAACATTTAATTCATGTGCTTGATCGATCGACCAATGGTGCGAAGCTATCATCTGAGGAATGACGGCTGAGCGCCTCTAAGTTAGTGTCCCACCTGGACAAGGCAAGGATAAATTTGCTTCCCAGTGTCGGGTGGCACTATTATGTAATTATGACTGCAACGCATCCACTATTGCAGCTAATATCCCATTATGTGCCTTGCTACTTGATCGAATGGTTAAGTGGTTGCTACGACCGGATTACTCCGGTACAATGTCAGGACGCAAGATCACTTGCAGATTACCTATTATCCGATGTTTCTTTTGTAATTACAGGTGAGAAGGTACATATATATATATATATATATATATATATATATTTTTTCATAGATATTAGAAAACAGTTTGAACACAGCACAGCAGCATCCTTCAACTGAATTTGTCAAAATTCCTCACATATTTAGTCCGTTCGCATTACCGTCTTCAGTGTTTTCTTTCTGTTGACGTTTCTTAGCCAATCCATTCCTCTTTCATCTGCACAGAAAAAACCCTTCAAATAGGCACCGAAATTGATCAGGGATCACATAAACGTTATGAGGAAAGTAACAGATAACATTTACATAATAATCAAATGTCGAAAAAATTATTCAACGCTTCATTGGCGCGTATGAATTGATTTAAAAATCACTAGCAGAAAAAGCCCAAAAAAAAAAGAAAAGTGATGGATGATTCCGTGTGAGAAATCTAACAACTGACATACACTCACCCGCTTGTTCATCTTAACAATTCCAGAAGCACATTACACTACAAAAAAAGAAAATGAAATGTGATCCCGGCTATGTCTCAAATTGAAAATCCCAACTGTTAATATTCAGTTATTTCCCGTATTCTTTTAAATAGAAACTTACCGGAAGATAAAGAAGGTTTCCACACTAATTTCCAAATATCCCAGTATGTTCATTGCGAAAATATTTCATGACAACACTATATTTTCAGTTTCATTCGAGAATTTTCTGGAACTTTCACCACTACAAATTCAAAAACTCTCTATGAACCCCCTTCACTTACTGAATCTACTGAATTTCCTGTAACCAGAGCAATTTCAACAATTGGATTCTCATAAAGAATTTACTCAAAACATCTATAAATTATCATGCCATGAAAATAACTCATAAATAGAGGCAACAATTTACAACATAATGGCACCATTTTGTTCATCAGCTAACGAGTAAGAAATTTAATGTACAGATTTGGAAATCACGAGAAACATCAGCAATGAGGACGCAATTTCTTCTTAAGTGTAGGATGCCTTGGCTGTGCATGTATCCTTTTCAATGTATTAATGAGAACGTAACGACTAAACAGCATATACAGATATCGAAACCATACGAGCTGAGAACGGTGCGCCCACATAGCTCGCCAAGCTGTGATATATAACAGTGGTGAAGAGATATACAAAAATGTCGAATGGAAGGAACTGATAAAAGCATCCAAAAGCACCACATACTTCCTCCAAATCGATACACTTTCCAAGACAAAGATCTAAAAAAAATATCGTCATATATCATCTCCTTTTATATTACCTTACCATCATTTGGAATGAATAATCATTCAGTAATCTACAAAAGCAGATTCAGAACAATTCGGATTTTTATTTGAATAAAAATATATAAATGAGAGCAATGCATTTTCACCTCTTTCTTAACTTCAAATATTCTCGAGTATCTTTAAAAATTTAGGCAACTTCCAATTGGACTTATTTTGAAGTTTCATTCGAATTTTACATGCTCCAATAAATCGCTACTTATCCTCAGGATAAAAATCCACAAGTTGAATGATTACCTGTACTCCAGCAGGAATCAAACCATTTGTATAAAGATACTGCAACGCTCGAAAGCATCCAATATGATTGGGATGAGCACTAACACCACCTTCATCAAAAGTGATTACCAAGTCAATATCAAGCATTTGCATATGCCTCAAGATCACTTTGGCCAGCTCTTCCTTGGACCACTGGATGAATCCATCTTGGAAATTATCATAGTCCAGAACAGTCAGGTTATCAAGTGATAATCCATGAACAGTGAAAGCACTAGCCAACTCGTACTTACGTGTTACACCCAAACCACTGGAATTACCCGTAGAAACGCAAAGCAAATAAATATTTGATCCAGAAAGTCGTAAGCCATGAAGAGTAGGAGTAAAAAACATTGTTTCATCATCAGGATGAGCAATAACCAGCAATGCACGCCGACATTTTGGCAAACTTCGTCGTTTTGCGCGATTACATAAGAGCGAAAGCAATAATAAAAACGTAACAGTGCAGAAACCAAAAAGTGGAAGGAACATTCAAGTGGTAGGATTTGGCAATATTTAACTTTCTTCCTTCGAATTGTTTGCTGTTTCAAAAACCTGAAATGACAAAAAAAGCTCAGTTTATGAATTGAGAGATTTCCACGGAATCTGTTCTGAACATTGTAATGATAAAAAATTGATAAGAAAAGAAAAATGATAGAAAAAATGGTAATAGAGATTGATAAAAAATTCACCGTAATGGTGGAATGATAATAGCTGTCTAGTATCACGGCACGACACAGCACATTTTAAAGGTTCAATGAGGTAGTAGCTAAGCGACTGTCATTTGTTCTGTCATACGACCAACTGATTCTATCCGCTAATAACCTTACTATGAAGTAGTTCAGAAGAAACGATTTAACGAATGTATCATAACTTTTTACAGGATGTTTTGGGTATGTGGCAGTGTGCCATCATAATACAGTTAGAAAGTTTTCTAAATGTCCAATTATCTGCATAATGGACTGTCCAGATAACTGGATGCAAAATGGTATGAATGACTTATTATGTCGGCATTTCACCAACAGAAATGAACAAGTGCAACATCTCCGGTTTCAAACAGTCTCGCTGTTACCACTATAACCAGATGATGAAACAATGATGGTTTCAAAGAAGAAAAAAAAAGTGAACAATGAATCCAAATTTCGACTAGATTCTAAAGTCAAAAAACATCGGCTATCTAAGAAAGCAAGTCTCTCCAGTCGCTTTCCAGAAAAGAAATAAATCTATAAGTCTCTCCAGTCGCTTTCCAGAAAAGAAATAAATCTATCTTAGAGGATCCAGTAATTCTAAAAGTGATATTCAATATTGTTGTATTTCTCGGATATGTTGGAAACATCGATACAAAACTTTAGATTTATCCAGACTTATCTACACTCTGTACATCCCCATCATCATGATCAGATGCAGTCAGAGCAAGATGACAATGCTAAAAGAGGGGGTGGATGAAACACCGTTAACCATACAAACACAAAACTAAGGAGTCAAACAGCTCAACCAAGCAACTCATCTACAGAATACGCTATGCGTGTGAATCTTTGAGTGCATTTTATCTCCTTTTGTATCTCGCCCTGCGTCTTTTCCTCTCTGCCTTTTCTTCTCTGACTGCCTAACTGATTGTCTTCATTTACTTCTAACAGAAAAATATCGCAACGGCTTCTCCGTCCTAGATGGTATGAGTTTTGGGATTTCAAAACCCTTACTCAATACAAAAATGTGTGTTAGCGTTAATAAGTTAGTGATAATAGCTAAGGTATCTATGGAATATTATTCTGAAAAAGTGAAATACCTCAGTAAACGTTGCAACGCTTTCTCCTCTGTCAATACGAAAACGATCGCCGCATAAGCTGACCATCTTCTGGCCGAACTGTTGCGGAGAATCAATTTGGAGTGCTGCGGATACAGAGAGAACGAATAAACCAACACTGGATACTGACAAAACAGTGGCAATACCGAGAGCACGTACTCCAAGCGCAAATCCACTCCGAATGTTTTTCAGTTGTTGACCTTTGGTGTGCCGATATGAAGATCGCAAAGCACAACCAAAAAATGATCCGAGTGCAAATGCGCTCACTAAAACAAGTTTTCTAGAACATCGAGACAAGAAAAGTGGCAAGTCATCAGCTCTTCTTAAAATAAAAACATGGAAGACATGGAAGCATAAAAAACATGGAAGCGATATCTGATATATACATTTATATATAGAAAACCTTGTCGCTTCCCAACATCTTGATAGTACGGCAAATCGTACTCAGGGATCCCAATTAGTCATTGCAATTACGACTGTTTTATGGATGCACTGTGATCGAACAGTGAATTAAACACAGGGTAGACGCTATTTACTTTATGAATTCACCAAAAAAGGATGACAAAAATGAAAGACTTTTCCTTCGCTCTTTTTTCGTTCCTTCACTATTCTTTTCCGAATTCATCAGTGGCAGATTTGCGAAGAGTATGGTCAATAAGCAATAAAAGAACTCACCAAAACACTTGAACATATATTGTGCGGAAACCAAAGACGAAGAACCAATATATCATGAGCCTCAGAATCATTTCCTATTTACTGTTTATGGGGACGCATGACTAACAAGAGTCCTCTAACAATTGATGGAAAAATGAATTAGTACTTTCTGAACTTTTCTGGACTAGACCACATCAGACATCTATTTAGTGCATTTAGTCCAGAGAAGATGCAAGACTACGGCTGAATAACAAGATGGAATAAAATCTTTGAAATTGTAAAACTAAAACACACTGTGGTGATCGAAGTCTCCAGGTGAAACGAAAGTTTATCAATATCCATTTATAAAGTTTATCAATATCTTTTATCTCTAATTCTCGTTAACAAATTTTGCTTCCGTATGAGGAAGCTGATTTATTTTATGGAGATCTAAAACAAGTCTACAAGTTGCAACCGCTCAAATAATACGAAAAGATATTTCGAAATTAAATAAACCGTATGTTCCCTGATAAGGACGAATTTGTGACTAGGAAATGAAAAGGAAAGAAGCTTCCGTTACGAACCATTCCTCTACAGTTGTATAATATATTCTCGTGAATAAGAAAAAGCTATCACTAATGTCTTCAGCTCAATTATTATGTATTACAAGTTCAACTACTGGATGTTTGTAATTCAGTGTAAAGATATACCGTGCAATATTTCATATCATGGGAGTAAAGGCTAATAAAAAATCTTGAAGCGTGTGTAGAAGGACTGGAATTTGAAATACTTCAAGAATCCCTTACGTTCGTAAGATCAACTGAGCGGCGTATGAGAGCAACAGAATCTGTTCAAAAAGTCCACTTCATGTTATTAAACAAAACGGAGAAATACTTTGAATGGAAAGAGGCGTTTGAGGAATAAAATAAATACGGGATCGAAGCACATAGAAATTCTCTAAACTCGATAAGAGCTTCAATTTTTCGCCACTAGAATAAATCCCTCTGGAATCACCTTAAAGTCTCGCAGGTTCTATTCTGTCTTCCTAAATACTTGACATGCATTTCACCACCTTTGTTAAACGTACAATGACAACATTATTGACACCAACTTATTCTACAAGCTACTCGAGATTTATTTCGAAAATTCACACATTTTTACCACAGACTTTCCCACTTTCCCTCATACTTCACTCAGGAATGACTGAAAGTATTGACAAATGGCATCTAATGCAGAGCGATTTCATGTATTTATTGACAACATACTCAAGATGAATGGCTTGAGAAAAACCTTTTACTAAAAGAAATAATTAAAAGTGCTGGAATGAGTGTCGTGAGTTTGATGTTGGGAAAAAAAAGAATATTGTTCCTCTACAGGTAGAATGAACAGAATGTAGTGTCAGAATGCAATGCGTAAAACACTTGTAGTCTCTTAAAAAAAAGTATAACAACATCCAGATTTCTTCCCTTTTTTTGGATCCTTGGATCCAAAATAACCAGTTTGGATGTCACGTTTGGAAAAAACGAGGAAAAACAAAAAGTGAGGCATAAGTAGAATTAAACCGAACCCAAGGACAACAAGACTTATGCGCTAATACGATAAAATATCGCAACAAAACTCGGAAGACAGTCCAAGAAGAGTTAAACAGTTTGAAATAAAAGTAAAACGTATCTTGCCGCATCCTATCCTATATATGAATTCAAAATATCAAAAAGAAAACCTCACCATGTCGCAAAAAACAGCGTCATCCTTGTGCAATGCACTCAGTAAACATAAAAATGATGGACTCAAAAACGGCCGCACAACCGTTTTAAAGAAAGATTATGTTGGGGGTAAAGTGGAGGGAACAATGGCTCGAGGCAATCAGGGTCAAGACAAACGGGGAGATCTTTTTGACGAAACATTGGCTTCACGGTAAACAATTCACTCCAATAGCCTATCCATTAGTCAAATTGTAAAAAGTTGCATCACAATGCTTCCCAGTAGAAACCTTACTTAACTGTCAGTAATATTAATAAAACAACCTACAAAGTTTAATTTTTGCCGGTGTAAGAATGAAATTCGCAAAGTATGTTTCAAAATTCTTTAGCGGTTTGCTCTCCGACACGCCACTAACAACAGTCACTTCTGTAACTGCATTCTCCATGCAAGGTGGCGCTTTCCAAAGAGTCTCAAGAAAACATCCAACAAGGACACTTTCAACCTGCAATTTCAGACAAATAAAGGATAAGGAAATGCGTCCATTACATCCATATAATCAAGTTGCAATTTGTGCAAATTTTTAAAAAAGAAACAGTGGTAGCATATATAGTGCAAATGATGGAACAGTTGGCGGTCTTCAGGGTACCTATTGACAGAACCAACCAGTTTTAACCAATTCTAGTAGAATACTGCATAGTAAAGCAAAGTTAATTAGTAACTTTTGGAATATTTTGTATTTAAAGGGATATCAGAAAATCAGCATTATTATGTATTCCAGCAAAGATAATATACAAGTACATAACAGCTCTTGATATTCATTTAAACAGTGTTTTGTTTGGCAGTATAAGAAAACAGAAAAATAACCAGAGATACTAGTAATTAATCAATCTTTTTCTCCATATCTGAACCACAGCATTCGCATTTTACATCCACGCTGTCATCATGGTGTGCCACATTGCTTTGATATACAACTTGCCACAGCGAAATAAATTAGCCTAACAACCTATCAATCCTTAACATGACCGAAATTGAACCACATTTCAAATTTGAGTCCTCGTTCGAGAACTCAGAAACCAGGCCTGTGACTTAAGATTCCTCACGCCCCATCCACGCTACAACCTATCATGGTGTGCAGGAAAGGAGGTTCCCTCTCTCCACATAATTCGAGCGTACGTCGTTCGACTTGGCGGTTAATTGGTTTTCTAAATGAGAGGGTTGGAGCTCCTTAGCATGACGGGCGTTCGCCAGGAGTTAAGAAGGAATGGCCACCCATGAGAGATGGTCAGCTTGTTTTTCTTACTGCTATACTTTAAATGGTTGAGTTTAAGGAGGTGTGACCAAATTTTGTGTTAGTCAGAGATGCCTTCAAAAACAAAGTGGGAAAAGAATCATTCATCGAGTGAAAATATCGGAATAGTAGGAAAGTACCAGCTGTGGATGTTGAAGGCTGAAGTTGGTGAGGCCATTGCCGGTTTCCCTCATTCCGATGAACTGATTCACCAGGAGGATCTTTTCCAGGTTTGTCTCAAATTTTTTGCTCTCATTGTTTCACTCCTTACCTCTCCGGATTAAATGCCTGTGTGTCCGAGAAGTAATTGCGTGCCGTATTTCATTAGCATATGTAAACAGAAGTTATTGGAAAACGTGAGCGAGAGAACAGTTAAAACTGTGATTGGTCACAGTGCTCAAACGAATGGACGGAAATAAAAATTATGTGTCCTACTTGTTGCAAATCTTAAATTTTAATCTTGTTATAAATCTTTTTATGATTAGAGAGACCAAGTAGTACGCTGAAAGCGGTCAAATATTCCACATTAAAAAGGAATGACTTCCGTACTTCCTCTCTTCCCTTCTCCCTCCTAAGAAAGGGAAGGGCATAGCAAAATTACACACTGCTGCCGATCACTCAGTGGCACAATTACAGAAATAACTAACCATATGAAAGCAGGTTATGGGATTTTTTCCTTCATTTAAAATTGAATTCCCAAGTAATTTTCAGAAACGGAGTAGAAGAAATAGGAAGTTTTGCCAGTAACTGTATTTCATGAGTATTGTAAGTTGGAGCTGTGAAACGATCAAACTATCTGGGAGATACCATCACTGCACGTTAACGGGGATTAATTTTAGCCGATGGAGATTAAACGGTCCGAACCACCAACCGTATAACTAATGTTGAATTAAAAGAGACGATGTGATAAACTTCTTTAAAGAGGGAGATCTATTTACGCTTTCACTTGACATTCTCGTTGCCAATAAGTATTAGTTTAGTGATTTTCATCCGTGTACAAGATCACAACTGTTTCGAACTGATTTCAGTATTTTATCGACTCAATTATTTTTTGGAATAAAAACGGTCATAAACCTGAAAATCTAGTGATTATTTATATTATTTATATTATGAAAAGAATTACTTTTTCATCCGAACAATCCTCTGTTTTGTAAGTTACACTATTTTTACAATAATCTTTGGCAGCTTAAGATTTTCCCACTATAATGAGGCCTTTTTAATATCTTCTGTACCTTCCTGAAATACTTTACAACTCATAAATTTAATATCTTTGAAGATGATGAAGGAGAAATCGTTGAATCCGAAATGGATTACAGGCAAAGATTGTCTAGAACGAAAGTTCGAGTGTGACGATTTCTATGTGCTGCCTGCCTTCAGGGGCAAAATATTTAGTCGTTTGATTTCTTTAAAGTGCAGGTATTTCCCTATGAATCAATCGAATTTCTCGAAAGAATTTATAAATTTTGCATTCGGAAATAAGCTGAAAACTTTAGTCACGATTCCTTGAATTCTGTGAAACGCTTGAAATGGCCAAGAAAAATCCAGCAGTTATCTCATGTGATTTGTTTAAATCATATGTATGTTAATCTAAATTCATCATATATGATAGATAAACAAATCAGGGTATACGGAGCGTTAGCGCTCATAACATGTCTGAAAAGAAAAGAACGTCTTCCGAAACGACATTCGCCTGTCTGGTCCACAACTCTACAAAACTCTATTGTGTGCTTCAGTGGGATCGAAATGAAAACACGGGTTACTTTCTGTTTCTGTAACTGTTATCTTTACCAAATTTTAACTTTCATTTTTTTGTCCATTAATTCACTCCTAGATTATCAACTCAAAAAAAAGAATTGGATAGTGGCTCAAACTAAATGCCAGGATAAGTATCTCAAATATTAATCTCTAAAATCTGATTTTTCCGAACTCAGTTTGTCTATTGTTTTAGAAACAACAAATTTCGCTTGTAAAGATGATGGGTGGAACGATTTCTAAAGCTTTCACGAAAAAAGTCACTCATTTAGTTGCTGATTCTCAGGATACAAAATCCAAAAAATTTGTTGTTAGTTCATCGTATTTTTCAGATTTCAATATATTTTAGGATTTTAGTGTATTTTAGACAAACTAATTGTAAATATACATTATTTTAATGATCTGAACCTGAAGACTTCGTAATATATTAATCAAAATATTTTCTAGACTGCTATAGATTATGCAGTTCCAGTGCTGTCGGTCAGCTGGATATTTGCTGCATGGAAAAGTGCAAAAGCATTTAGTGAAAGAAAATACACCGATGAACAATTTATCAGCGAACACAAGCTCCAAATTTTTGCTAAATGTGTAGGTCTTGAGATCTAAATGCAATAATCTTATTAGTAATAGCTACCAGTATCAGCATACTGAGAATGCAATTAAATTCTTAGATTAATCAAAAACAAGATCAAACTAAGAGAGCACACATGCTCATATTAGTTTGATGTTGTTCTTGATTAATTCATGTAGCAAAGATACTTCATCTGAATACGAGGAAAATTGGTCATATTTGACATTATTAACTTCAGGTTATAAGCTGCTCAGGTATAGCTCCTCAAGATCGCTCAACACTTTCGCACCTTATTGAAGCAAATGGTGGTGTATATATGGGAAATATGAAAAAAAATCACTGTACTCATTTGGTGACTGATTTAAATTCGGGTGAGAAATATAAAATTGCTCGAAAATGGGGCTGGAATCAAATCAGGATCGTTCGTTTGCGATGGGTTACAAAAAGTGTGGAGAAGGTTTGTTTGTGAAAAAATTGGAAGACACAGATTTTTTTTTCCTCTCCAAATCTTTTATTGGAATTTGTGAAGGTTATTACCGATATTGGCAGCTACTGCTCCCATTATTTTCTAGCATAAATTTAGGGATATCGTCTTCCTGAAAGGCTTTATGAAACCAGGATCAATTCTGCAGTTGAATGTAGTACTCCACGAGCTTCACAACTTACGCAGTTTCAACCACTTACAAATCTAGAAATTAGTGTCATTCGTCGCTCAGCTGATCAGCAGCAGACAACGGGTGGACGCTTGATTTTTTTTCAAATTTTCAAGCTTCTCTTAGTGAGAAAGAGTAGCATTATGAAATAGGAACTGTAGAAAATTCCACTTTAACTTGAACATTGTTACTAGCAATGTAAAACTTAGTCATTACGTGGAGAGAGGGAGTTTCTGGTTTTAGTTTTATCCTTTTATAAGCAAACAGTTCTTGAAAGTAATTTGAGACATTATAACCTCATTCATTTATTAGGACAAAAAACAAAAAGTTTTACAACATTCATGGGATTGGTTGTAGATGCATTGGAGGATAATGGATTAATGTCAAGTGATATTCCTCAGATGCATTTAACGGAAAATGAAAGCACCGCAACAGAAATCATTAAATCATCCACCACCACCGAAAGGTTTTTTCCCATTATTTGTATTTTTCTTAGTATGCAATTTTCTCTTTGTAGAAAGATGAAGATTAAATAAAAGTAATTATTCGTAAAATTTTAAATCGTTTGAAATAAAGACCATCTTCAGATAATTACTAAAGAATTATGCGAAGCGATATCTATCGTGAAATCTTTTTCAGAAAGTCTAAACTTAATCGTACTTGTCTTATATTGACGGGCGCGCTACACTGGGCCGTAAAGTCTTTATGATCCGAATAATTTATGCATTGTCTCAAGTTCATTTGCTTATTCCAAGTTTACCACAATCTTTGCAGTAATTGGTTAAAAGTGAAGCCGTCACAGCGGATGACGTTGGAAGTGGATCCTATTGTGCTTTTCGATTTAGATGCTCTTCGCTTTAATGATTTCATGAGTGTAGGTCTATTCCTGCACTTTTTTTTTTCTAGGAAAGACATAATTTCGAAATTCCCCATATATATAAAATATCAATTTTTATGCTAGACTGTTGAGGGATTTTGGCTGGACTTCTGCGAAATATTTTCAATAATTTTAAATACATAAGTCAATTTTTTTATGAACTTTACAAAAGATATGATTATTGTTTCTTTATTTTTTGAGTGGTGCAGTCTACTTTGTTTCCATTTAAGAATTGTATCATCTATTTGTGTGGAATAGAGGATGAAAATTTTAAAAAATACAAATGGCTTACCAATAAAGTTGGATCGGGTCGACGTGACAGGCTTATATATACTGATACAACTCATGTGGTGGTTGGTCCACAAAGATTGGACTGGAAGTTGATTAAGCAGGTCTTCTTTAACTTTCAAGCGCTAAGAAATGCAGTTTATTTAGGTATTAGCAGTGCGCATATTGTCGTAATTTTCGATTTGACAAAAATTAAATCTGTCATTCTGAAAGTTCCGCTAGAGCTATGGTAATCATTACATAATATGTATTTAGTAAAACTGGGTGATTCGAAAAATCCATTTAACTGGCGAGAATGGGGAATGACTTACAGCTAGTAGTTGTGACTGTGACCTTTCCCACGAAAGCCACTAACAACATATCTTTTGTTATTTTAACAATAAATATTTTACTATTTAGTCGTGCATAGTAAAAATTTGAGTGGTAGAAATATATTTCATTCATAAATATGTATTTTATTTATAAAAAAAATGAAATGTTCATAAAATTTTTGTTTGTAGCTCAAGGAAAAAGCACGCACTAATGTGAAAGTGGTTACATGTGAATGGTTGTTGGATTGTGCTAAGACACAAACAGTTTTGGACGAATCGAACTATTTGATTTTCAAGCAAGAAAAAAGCGATTTTGAGCTTTCGCAACGTAAATTAAGTGTAACAGCAATGAAGGGATTTAATTGCAATGATGAACCGAGAACGAAAACTGCACTGAAAATTACTGAAGTAGATTTGTTTTTTGATCTTATTTAGGAATTTAAGATCATTAATTCATAACACTAAAATCAAAATAAATGTCTTTAGAGAAATGAATTTCTTCCTCTTTATGGATTTTTTCCTAGTCGACATCAGTCCCACCTAACTTTGAAGCACCCCGAAACGTAAATTCATTCTGGTGTGTGGTCATTCAATGAGAACTAGTCTTTTTCTTTGAGTCCAACTTACTTTTATTTCTTGGGGCTGTTATCATTATTTCAGATAGGAGTTAAACTGCTAGGTAAAGCAGTTGGAATGTTAACTAATGCTGAGCTGGATTCTGCAGAAGAAATTATTTGGGAAAAGCCAGTAAGAAATAACGATGAAAGTGACAACAGTGATCGTCATTTATTCACTGGGTTGTCGTTTCGCATCGTTGTTAAGAAAGAAGAAGTTCGGAATAAATTGTTTTCTGATATCGAAAGTCGCGGAGGTAATTTTTTTTAATAGAATGTGTGCAGTCTGCGCAAAGCAATTAATAAGGCTATCCTAATCAACTAGGATTTTAAACTCATTTTCGTTGCCGTAAATAACTATACACTATTGAATAAAGAGAATAAATGTAGCAATCTTGATGAAGACAATCACCCAAAGAGTTTTGTTTTTTAATAAGACTTAAAAAGTTATCGTAACTGATGACTTTTAGGTAAGGTGGAACAAAAAGCAAAAATTTGGGTTGATTATATGGTATGTGAAGTACTGGATTTTCTGCTTAATGACAGTGCAACAAATTTCAATTGCGGTAGTGTTGTTTCGTCGTTTTGGCTAGTATGTCGTTTTCGCATTTTGATCAAAAACATAGGAAGTTCTTGTTTCTCATTGTTTTAATTCTCCATTTGCAACATACTTCTGTGCTGAATTTCTTGTTTCTAGGGTTAGGTTTTGACATGTACTAGGATTAAGTCTGAGAAGATGAATATAACTTGTGTTTATTTTAGAAATTAAGTTGACATAAAAATAAAAATTTGGCTTGTATTTAGGGATGTTCGCAGTTTACAAATTTTGAATGTTTATGTATAGGCACATCCTAACTTATATTTTCTTTTGTTATTGATTTTTCTTAGGGTGTGATGCATGCGTATGGTCGCAGATATAAGTTTGGATGCAATCAATAGAAAAGTTGAAACGAAAAGTCTCTAAACTTAGTTTATATTTTGAAATAATAAGATTTTTCTGTTATTTGCGAAAAAAGTGGCTGTTTTTTAGGCCGTGCTTACTGCAAGAGTAATTATGATGTCGATAATATTTCTCATCAGTTTCAGTATGTTTGGCTTCACTCGTTAATTTTGAATTCTAGCAAGAATGTATTGAGAAAGGTTCAGTAATAAATGCCGAAAGGCATCCACTTTATCGACCTATCGAGGCGTTCGAGACTTCTCAGATTTTTGATGGTCACGTTGTTGGTTTGAGTACGTTGCCGGAAGCTGAGAAAGATATTTTCACTGATATTCTATATAAGTTTGGAGCGGAGTAGGTTTCTTTTTCAGTTCGAAACTTTTTATATTGTGTAAGAACCTCAAAAATTAAAGTTGACCCCAACTTGAGTAGCTTATTACTAAGAAAAGTTTCATCATTCAGTACAGTGCATCTTTCAGAATGATTTTATTGCATTCTGAATATGATCATGCTTTAATTTTCTCGAACTCATGTCACTGTTTCATCCAGCCCGTTACTGTGTGACTTGTTCCTTCCTTCACGTTCTCTATAAATGGCAAACATCGAATTTATGATTTGAAATCATTTTTTATTTGAAGTGTTTTCAGCGTAAAAATTCACTTGGGGAAGTTTAACCAGTTAAATATTTGTACAGAAATAATAACCGGTGCTGCGGATTGCATCGACTCTGCACGTCGTTGGCAAATACCTGTCCTGGATCCATCCTGGATCATCGAATCTATCATTCAAGTAATGAATCAGATTTTTGTGACGGTGCCATAAGTGAAAGATTTCAAAATTTTGTTTTTCCTCTACTCAAACGTTCAGTTATGCAGTTGTCCAGCACTGCAGTTTTTTTATTGTAGAATCAACTGCAACCAATACACCCACATTTATTCGACGACCAACCATTCAAGAATTACACGCGGAATGATCGATTATGGATGCATGCTATACAACGGAAACCAAGCAGTGATATATCAAATATGCTGGACGGAATGAGTAACAATAATGAGTTACCCATTCGAAAAACTTTAAACAAAAACGAAAAGAAGGCAAGTCCACAGTGTTGTGGGATGAATATATTGCAACAGAATTTAATCCAAGATAGGGAAAATACGGGAAAAGTTGAGGATCGAATGCTAAAAATATTGAATCAGAATGTGCTTAGTGAAGGAAATGCTGGTGACATGTCTTTGTATTATTTGAACAACATTACCCCGTCTTCAAGAATGCTCACTGAAATGTGGATTTTTAAATACATTGTGACTAAATTTTGCAGAATAGGAAAATTTTTTTCTTCGAAATGGAAACTTAACAAATGGAGTCAGCAGAAGCTATTCCAACGAAATTATAAGGAACTGTCACTGTGATATACTTGATTTTTGGTGAAAAATGGAACAATATTTCTTTCTAGAAGTATGCAGGAAAAAATTCGCAAGAACAGACAAGTAACAATTTGGCAGCAGTTTCAAACCTTGCCGAATCGTCAGCTTATGTCGGTGGAATAAATACGCAAAGCACAATGGGTATTTCATCAAATGGGGAAACTTGGGTAGGCCCCTCAATACGCAGAATCTTGTTGCTGTTTTATTTGATCTTAATATAATTAACGTATTGTCTTTTGTTTGGTCTAGGTTGATATAAGCGAACAAATTAGAAGTGCAGAGATAATTCGGCATGCAGCAACGAAAGAATGAATAACGTGAAAAATCTGTGATTTTTCGTCACATAATGGCGTGTAGTCTATTCTTATAACATTCTTCCTCAATGTATTCATGCTTAGAATTTCAGCTTGAAATTAACTTACAATTTCATTTTCGAATAGGAAAATAATTAGACAATTGTAAGCAGCTATAATATGTTATGATTGTTTACAATTGTTCATTTATAATGTTTCCAGACGTAAGCAGTTTGTCCGAGATACATTGTTGTCTTTTTATGTTTTCAAACTACAAATCTTTGATAACTGCAGAATGATACAGCAGTAGGCCGTGCGCTTTGTGAAGCAGTGGTTAAAACGGCTCAGGCAAGCAGCGCTCCGGGGATATCATCGATTAGGCGAGCCAATGATTATTATCAGATGCAGGTAGATTATGCGGATTGCTCTACAAATCTAATAGCTGAGTATAATAAGCGAACATTTCAAAGGGTACTTTATCTTGATAGGAGTGAAGGTTTCTGTAATTTTTTGCGGAGCTGGTCTAGATTGAGGTAGATGGGGGGTCGAGATCATTAAAATTGGTATGTATATATTTTACGATTTTATTTGAATAATAGCACGACCATCTTTCAGAAAGCCTGAGTCTTCTAAGAAATTTCAAATTCAAATAAATTCACAATTTTTTCTAAAAAGTTTAGTGATCTTATGATTTTGTAGACCAGACAAAATAAGAGAGATGCTGAGTCAGCCTCACCGACCGAACCTATGGACGGTTCTAAGAAGCCCAGAACAACAGTTTTTGAAAATTATGAATCGATTATCTCGAAAGACGAGAAGAAGTTTGTTGACATCTTTATTTGATATGACTTTTCAAATCAAATTTTATGCTCATTTCAAGTGATTTGATATCTAAATTTTAAATCCTTGAAATAGTTTAGATTGAACAGTTATTTTAAGGCGAAAAATAGCTGAAAAGTTGGCTAAACTTGCTGTGCAAAGGGAACAATATATGCGATCTATAGAGGCTGGAAAGAAAAAACAGTGTGTATGTTGATTTTATTTTTTCTGAAAAATGAAATTAAGAGTAGTAACTTCAGAGTCTTTCCAGTTTATTGATAAGTTTGTATCTTTTTTGAATCTTACTCTATGTGTAATGGATTAAATCTCGATTTTGAAATACCGCTGAACATCTTTTCTAGGAGCAAGAGAGGAAAACAGTGGTACAGGTTCATGTGGAATCATCAGAACGAAGTTCTAAAAAAAGATGCGTTGAACCACCTGAGCCCGAGCATTATGGGTGGAAAGAAAGCAGCCCACGTCCGTACGCGTATTAGTGCTCCTTGATTTTTTCTTTTCCATATTTTATGTGTCAGACAACTTTGCAGTGTTTCGAGAAATGTATCGAGGATTTATGAAATGATGTTTAATATTTAAAATCATGTCTCTCACACGGTATTGGATATTGTTGATTTGTTTGTGATCTCCACAATTATAATATACTTTTTAGCATTGCTACACAGATACTCAACCCTTTCGATACCGATCTGGTAAGTTTTTCGAAACCAAAAATAATTTTTTAGATTTTAGGGTGTCATTCTTTATTCAGATTTTTATTTTTGTCAAGCTTACTATTTCTGATCGGAACTTTTTTGAGTCTTTTTTTCTGGTAACACTTTGCACATTCCTTTGTTATAATTTTATTACCACTTAAAAAGTTAGGTGATAACTTAACAATCTCATGTCAGAAAATAGTGGAAAAGTTGAGAGTAGTAAAAACAATAAAGTGAGCTAAATTCCTCGCTAAATTTTCTCCGATTCTTTCTTGCAAAACAGGAAAATTTGTTTTTATTCGCAGGAAGAGAACGATGAGAAAATATCTATATCCACTGAATTGGAAGAACAAAATCAAGGAAACAAAATAAGGTGGCTTGATTGATCATGAATCATGTTTATTTTTTATTTCACTTTCACATCAATTGCTACGGAGATTTTGATCGATCAGTATTTATTTGAAAAAAAAGTAAGAAATATAATAAAGCCGTGGTAACATTGGGCATGCTCACAATTCATACTAGGATTAAAAAGGATTACTTCTGGCCAAATTTTTATTTTCATAGAGCAGTGTTTTCTTTCTTTTTTCTTTTTTTTTTGTTGTGCAAAGAACCAGCCTAGCGTTCAGCTTATAATGGTTTTTGAAAAACAAAAACGGTATCTTCCATTAAATTTTGGTTTGGCTCTTTTTGGAATATGTATTTGTATTTAAGCTTTGCGGAAGAATATGAAAACGCTATTGTAGTGAAAACACCTGTCATAACCAACAGAACAATATGTTTTACTTCAACCGCTCGACATGTGAGTTTCATTGAATAATCTATTCATTTATTGTGTTTCTTGTAATAGTGTTTAGTGTTACCAACGTAAGATCTTTTGACGCATTTGTCAGACAGTTAAAACACCTGATGGAAGTTTGAGCCTGCTTAGAGCGAAACTTCTACTAAATATTAGTTGCAAAAAGTCCACTTAGCTGTATAAGCCTTGGTGTTCACTTAGGAGATTTCAGTTGTAATTTGAGCAAGGGTTTATATTCATTTTCATTTTAATTGTTCTGGGAAAATCAAATCCATCGTTTGTCGTTTACAGGATAGAAATGCCTTGGTGGCTATGGTTTTGGATTTAGGTGGCGAAGTATGCAATGAATTCGACGAAAAGGTAACCCATCTAGTTTGTGGTCGTATAGTACGCAACGAAAAATTGCTTTGTTCAATTGCCAGAGGACTCATAATTGTCGATGAAGACTATATCATCGATTCGCATGCACATTCAAAGTGGCTTGAGGTTAGTATTGATCAAATTAGCTGTTCTTTCAGCATAATCAGTGGTATCGATTCTATTCGATAAGGAGTAACATCGATTAGATTGCTGTGCCTTATTAAAAGTTCCAGCACAGAAGCCATATATTTCCCCTAATGTTTCTCATCTTTTGCTTCTAGAACCACTATTCTTTTTGTTTCCCATTGCAATAATTTTGTATTCATTCACTGATATCTTCCTTTCATTGAAAATGTTACTTTTATTGTTGGATTAATTCATCTTTCGGTGTGGCGCTATTAGGATCATTTGGTGATGCCGTTCACTGAAAGCTTTTATTGTGATAAATCCAAACTGGTATATAGCTTACTTAGGTTGGAAGACTTGCAAAGTTATTTGAGCTTGAAAGTTGGTGAAATATTTAAATCTTGTTCATTTATAACAAAATTTCAATTAATGGAGCCCATGAGGAAAAACTCCAACATCATGAAGTGCCGACTGATTATGAACTTGAAGGTGTTTCGAGGAATCCACAAAGCAAGCAGAAATTACTCCGAATTTTGCATGCACGTTTTTCTAGGTCGGTAATTACGAGTGGGGAAGTACTCATTCAGTGATTAAGCACGGTCTGCTCTCATCACAACGTTTTCTTTCTTTTGCGTTGGCGTGCCCCCGATGGCGACGGAAGATCGAAAAGGTTTCTGAAATTTGCTTCACAAATGTTGAAATCATCAGAATTGTCCAACCACTCAATATGGACAATATTATATTGCTAAAATAGCTATGCGCTTGACAGGAATGTGCTGGAACGCTACTAAGGAGGCGCTTCTCTTTTCTATTGCTACTCTCAATTATTTTCATATTTTACTAGAACAGAAATCATGTGACCCTTCAAGGTAATAAAAAAACGGATTATTAAAATGAGTTGATGTGATCTCACTTAGTTGCAGAATTCAACTGAAAGAGCCTTCCATAATTGGAAAGCATTACTTTACTGCGGTCGTCGTCGATTTGCCGATCTTAGACGTATCATTCGTTTCGGTGGTGGAGAAGCTTATCTAAGGCACGAGTTTACTTTGATTCCTTCTTGTTTTGGTTCTAAGAGTACTTTTCAGATGATTTAGATTCGAACTCTCTAAAGACTGAACTCTCCTAGAAGCTAGACAATTTATTGGAAAATACCATGCCTAAAATTTAGGGATGATATCTGCTCACTGAAAGGATTCACCGTTGCGCTTATTGAAAAGTCGAAGTTTTGGAATTCTCAGGTCAGCGTGGATTCATTTTAAATTTAACCATAGAATATCACGGAACAGGGATAGGAAAAAATTTTCAAAATTCGAGGGATCAGTTCGCAAAAAATTAGCTTCACAAATATTGAGTACCTTAAATGAACTCATGTCCCCTCGAAGAATTTCAAAATGACTTATTTAATTCACTATCAGCATTTAAGGTATGCTATAAGGAGTGCTCCCTCTATTTTTCTTGGCAAAAACAAGACATTTTCGAACACAGTGGTGTAAGATATAACATTCTAAAGTTGAAATAACTGGCTCAAGTTTCTGTCAATTTAAAAGAAATGGTAAGCATGACTCTCTTCAGGAAGTGGTCGAACTCATCAAGAACGATATACAGTGTTTCGACATAGACTACCTCGCTACATATTTAACAATAGAAGACGAATCAGAAATTAGAAAGCATTTCCATAAAGATTATATGATCGAATTAAACCGTTCATCACGATGAAGACACTCGTTGTAATTGGCTTAAATATCCTCAGCATTAAAGAAATATCCTCTGCATTTATATACATCTCGCTTCAAATCATCATGCCGAGATCTCCTGATTAATATGATGCTTAGGTTTCCTTCCAAATGCTCAACACATTCAATATTGCTAATTCTGTCTTTTACTACTTGATATCATGGTGTATTTAGTAGAAAGCTGTTAACAAATCTTGATGCGATGGTGTGTCTATTATTCTATTATTCCTTCCACTTTGGCTGCAATTTTTCTCAAAAAAAAAATCTCACTGCTGATCAGGCAAATGCTCTCCGGCAATGGAAAAATATGTTCAACAGTATAATCAGCGATTTGTATACTGCTGGTGGTACAACGCTACTCGACATTCCATTTTTAGCATCTGGCTAATGTAATTCCTTCAGGCTCTGAGGCGTGGAACAAATTAAATGTTTCTTTGTATATGTGTGCATATATATCATAAGGATAGCTCACAAATGCTGCAACCGACTAAATGTTCGAAACATAAATACAGCGTGCTTTTACATTTTATGTGTTTCTACAATATATATATATAAGGTTTAAAATGGCCGCATAGGGAATGCAACAGTGCCATTCTGAACTTTGAGGATGTGACTTGGGACTTCTTATCCAGATAATCATGCCCACCTGAGCAAAATTCATTCACTTTAAAAGTGAACAGAATTGATGGAACGAGTACTGACGCCTTGAGTCTAATTTATAGCAACTTAATTCTGTGGTCTTTTCTCCAAGGAGTAATTAGGGCGACATCAATCAGTTTAAAGTCATTTATTTTCAAGATGTAATTTAGAAAGAGAAAGATAGGCCACTTCTGCACAATTATTCACAGAATGCTCCACAATTTTTGCTTCGTCTACAATAATCCGTTTCTTAAAAAATGGACAGTTCACAACGAACGTTTCGTATTCACCTCCCTCACCACATATATGAACACCGTATCGGTTACTGAGGTCCAACAGAAGGTCTTTCATCTGAAAAGTACAAATACGATGCAACGTTACCGATTCAGTGCATATGAATGCAGAATGCATGAACCAAGTTCACGCAACATCATGTATCACATTGGATCTATTGTTGCAACAAAGCCTTAGATGTCCCTAAAGAGATATACCTCGATTAAGGGTTGTCCAAGATGTTTTACTGAGAGACCTAATGCAGCCACTTTAACAACAATTGCTTCAATTCCGGACGAAATGATTTCATTGAACAGCACAGCTTGATCAGCATTCCACAAGTAAGTTAATGATTCCAAATTCAATCGCCGGCATACATTTTGAATGCGATTTTTCTGGTAGCTACTCAGAATAGCGCCGCTAGAAACAGCTGTAAAACTATAGAAGTCCCTTACTTACAAACTTATAGATAAAAATTAACTACAAACCAGACGTGACGACACAAATTTTAAGTTAAAACCATAATCTGCTAGATATAACGAACGGAAAACACTCCTGAGGCTGGAAGCCAATAGCATGCAGGATCTGAAACTAAACTTGCATTCCGCAAAAAATACCAGCAAGAAATACAGTAATACAATATATCATTTGAATACCAGATTGAGCATATGAAGAGGTAAATACAATTATGATGCATATGACGATAATTTTTTAAGACAAATCTTCTAAAGGGAAAGATTAGGTACGTTTTTGGGAAATTCTACAAGGTTACTAAGCCAGTAACGGTGAACTGAATCTATGACCATATCACTGAATACACAGACAGAGAAACAGATAAACACATACACACAATTTCATATATACATAATTTTGTAAAAGAAACATTGTAGAACGCGACCAGCTCAACAGATTCTCAAAAAGTGCGACCGGCGGTCTTTCCCTTTAAAAAGGCCACTATGAAATTTACCTTCAATATCAGGATGTTTCTGCTTGACGAACACAAGCAACTCATATAGATCTTCTACTTCATCGTCATCTGTCACTTCATAAAACGCTCCCGTTTTTATCGGTCTTCCTCGTATTTCTCGTCGATAAAGGGGGAAGCCACAAGCTTCACTGTATACCTGAAGTAGGTACCGTGCAACTAAAGTAAAAAGCACGGCATTCAACTCTCGTAATTAGAGAACACTGAGAAAAATAAAAAATTAATGTGATCACCGAAACTCACTTGCTTACTCTATCCACCTAAATGATTTACGATATTAACTGTAACTAAAAAAATACAGATAAAAGGTTACCTGAAGTCCTGTATGGGCGACACACTGATACATATAACTATCCATCTCCTCCTTGTCACCATCTGGTGGATGCAGATTAGCAAGGCATACGACATCGTGTCCATCCTCCATGCACATCATCAAGTTGTAGCAACTGTCCTTCCCCCCTGACACCAACCCAACCACCCTCATCCCCTGACAGACCAACGCAATATCCACCCAAATTACGTTTCCCTCTAAACCTATTTGCAACGGCGGCCGCTTGACAGCTCGTAAAAAACGGTTTCTGTGCCATAAGCGGAGATTTTGAGTTCTCCCGAGTTGTCAGAAGTAGGCACGAGAATAAGCTTGATGTTTGGTTTACAATATGATGCTGATTGTGTGATTCAGCGCGATATGTGCTCCGAAGTCTTTTGTTCTATCTTAGCTCAAGCTCTTAGTTTAATCGATAGCTGTAGATTATTTGTCACAACTTATTTTATTTGAAATACGTACAGTCTAATTTCACTTAAATAATTTAGTTGACATTGCATCTCTTTGTTATATAAAGTATTTAGCTGATGGGTGAAATGGAACGGTTAGCATCGATTTCCTTCTCTTTCAGGGAACTCGTATTGAGCTATGTTTAGCGTACCATAGCTATTTCTCTGAATATCCATAAGTTCGATGTACCGAGAGATACAGGCAAGGGTACTGTAATGATTTGGAATCATTCCATATGATGCCATCAGGAGAGTGATTGTTTACTACGATTGCTTTTAAGCTATGGTTTTAAGTTCCTGAAAATCACATGGATTCGCTTCGGATATGTTGTGGTTTCCGTGTCTAACATTTCTTGTTCTTATCATTTATGTCATTCCTGTTCACTATATGCAGTTATGTGGATTCTCAACATCTTGCAGATTTCATTTTTATGTTTTTTCTCAGAATTTATTGGTTCGAATTATGGCTATTCGTTGTCAGTTCGAAGCAAGTAATGAAGTCGGTGTTTTCTGTAAGCTAACTAACAGTTATTGTTTGGTTGGAATTGCAGCATCCGAAAACTTTTACAGGTTAGAGCAACTTTGTATTCGATTGGCCAGTACTTTTTACTTCATGTTATTGTGTTTTAGCTTTTTTTTTTGTTCCTTTTCACATCGTGAGCAATTTATATTTTTGGTGGGATTTTGTCTTTCATTGTTTTGGATTTTCTTAAGGACAACAGTATTTTAACCTATGATTTAGGATAGTGTGTTAGAGACGGCGATGATTCACATTTATTTTTAGTCATCTATCAAAACAAATCAGTTATTTAGTGGCATACGACTTTCAAGGACGGAATTCTTTCAGTATAATAGAAGGCGAACTAGCTGACGTAATACCAGTGATTCACTGCTCCATTGCTGGAACTCGAATCGTTGGACGAGTAACAGTTGGTAATCGAAAAGGACTATTGGTGCCGAACGATACTACTGATCAAGAACTGCAGCATCTCAGGAACAGGTTAGCATTTCGTTGGAAATTTATAAAATTTTATAAAAGATACTGTTTACAGTTTGCCGGATAATGTGAACGTAAGAAGAGTAGATGAAAAACTGTCTGCGCTGGGAAATGTCATTGCATGTAATGATTATGTTGCATTGGTGCATCCTGAAATCAGTAAGGAAACGGAAAAGGTACCATTTATTTTTTCAGTTGGTGTTTTGCATTCTGAAACTGTTTCTCCTATTGTTTCAAGGCTTCTTGTGTTGTACCAGATAGCATTATCAAGCTGGAGACCCTTTCTTGATCAAGAATTGTACTGTACAGTTATAGTTCAACCGCAGCCCGCATATTGCTGTTTGGGCACACAAATGTTAATATCACAAGTAGACATGTCTCTGAAAAAAGCAGAAATTAAAAGTGGAACTGGTATTTTGAAAACTGATCCCATTGCATTAATATACTTGGTACTTTCCGATGCTCTATCTTTTCTGCAGTCACTCTCGTTTTAGTTTTGCGGACTTTACAGTCTGACTACAATTTCAGGCTCTGGAGGAAGTTTTACAAGTGGAAGTTTTTAGAATGAGTTTGGGCAACCATGCTCTAGTAAGTTACTCATCAATAAATATAAAAGATTTTCAAGTTGTCATTCATGTAATCAGGATTTTCATAAGAGACTTTTACTTATGTCAACTTTTTGCTACTTGAAAATATATATAAATATGCACAAGGTCTCTATTTTATAAGTCGTTTTCAGGTTGGTTCATATGCTGTTCTTAGTTCCCAAGGAGCTCTTGTTGAAGCAAAAACTTCTCCTCAAACACAGCGTGAATTAGCTGCCTTAATTCAAGTCCCCGTTGTTGCGGGCACCGTTAACAGGTGATTACTCTTGTTGTTGATGAAACACTCTACCACGCAAGGCAATCTGGCTTCATTTGTTTCTTCCTAAGAATTAATTCTTTACCTCTATAGAATTATCATTAATTACGGCTGGTCACTTGTATCCCCATTTCGCTTAGTTTCTACTATGTTTTAAAATATTTCTCATCTTAAACAATTTTCTAGGGCTTAGTATTTCACCTGTACCAAGTGACAATAGAATTAGCTGAACTGTAAGATAGATTTTTGATTCTGCAGACTCAAGATAATCTGAGCTTTATCTGAGTTTTTCTATGCATTAATTTGAAATATTTTTGTAAAATTAGTGTTTTTCTTTGATATTTTGAAGGGATCTCGTTTGATATAACCTTACTTGTGCGTATAGTGTGGATAATTTGCCGTTTAAAAGACACCGCGTATTTTTTATAGAAATTATTTTTCCGGAAAAAATAATGGTTTAACAATCGTGATATGTAGGAGAATTTGGTTTACACACGGTTTCTTTTAGCATAAAAATCTGGAACTCAAACTATTCAGACTTTTTCAAATAATGTCAGTGGCATGTTTTCGCTACTTTGAATTGTGTGTGATAAATTTAATTGTTGGATAGATTATGTTATGATTATCTTCTGCAGAGGCTCGGATCTGGTTGCCGCTGGCTTATGTGTTAACGATTGGATTGCTTTCGCTGGTCTCGACACAACGAGTACAGAACTGTCAGTCATTGAATCCTTATTTAAACTTGGTGATCGTGAGGCATCAGCCATAACGGGTGATATGCGTAATGCCCTGATTGATAGCACCATGTAATGGAAGTTACTTCTCTGGAGAATAGATGATTTCTCCAGAAGAAATATATCTGCCAGGATTATTACGATTCATATAAATCCTTCAAATCCTTTTATCCTTGTGTAATAAGGCTATGTTTTTTTTTATTCATCTATATCTCTGACTATGTGTTTTCTTGTCAGGAAAGCTAATTTGTTGATTTCGTTTGTCAGCGATATAGGTTTATTCGGATGTAATATTGTTCTTGCACAATATAGTTAACAACAAAAAATAAAGTGTAAAGTACACAGTAAATTGGTAAGCAGTGATGAGTATACAATAAACAATATGATCAGCTAACGAATTCATTGTCGTTGGTTTCGATAATAGTTGCTTGTCGGTTTGTTGATAAGGTGTGTAATGATTGAGATATAAGAGTCCGTTCTTCGTTGAAGTGGGGATATATAATTGAGATATAAGAGTCCTTCGTTGAGGTGGGGATATACTGCAGCAAAGCATCTGTTTAGCGGAAAGGAGGAATGTTGTAGCATGTTGTCTGATGGTGGTGGATAGGCGAAGAGGTCGTTGTAGTCTGTTTGACTGTAAAAACTCACTGTGGAGGATTTTGTCCTTTACTTCTCTATATATATACTTAGGATTAAGGGAGGAGGTTAGGCAAGCTCCATCGGGATTATCATTGAGATATGATTCCCCTTGGTATGATCCATTTTGCAGCCATGAATAGGTACTCGAATGTCTCCGTGATATCCTTCCATTGTTAGCTTATGTCCTTCATTGTATTAATTTTGCCTAATGATTTCATCATTATTTAGTAATATCATAGAAGTTTCATTTCAACGTAACTTTAATTTCGATATCCGACTTCTGACTCGAGGAGACCAATGTCTGCAGAGAGGGTGGTTTCTTTGTTTTACTTGCGCCTCGTGTTCTCAGTGCAATTGGTTCTTCGGCGTTCATAGAATCATTTTTGGCCTCTTTTTCTGTCAGTTTCGATGTTGATCTCGAGAGGATATAACGTGTTTGTCGGCTTTGTGAGGAGTTTTTACACGGCATTTCCATTGCTATAATATTTGTGATTCCATCCTTCATTAAGTTCCTTTATTTTTGCTAATTTCCAAAGACTTCGAGGAGTTTCAGGTTCGTCCAACAATACGATCTCTCCTACTCACAGTGAGCGGTTCTCCATGGCTTTCACGTACCCCCTCTAGGTTCGTTCCCTGAGCTTGTCAAGTACCCTTTTCTATAATTCCCAAAATGTGTCGAGTATCTTGAGTGTAATCATCCAATGTTTAATGAGTCGTTCCCTCGTTTTCAACGTTCTTGGTACGTTTCATCCCGTTGTCGGTAGAACTAAAGAAGCATTGGGTGTATGAAATCGACCGGACGTGTTACCTTACTGTCGTCAAAATTGGTATACGTTAATGGTTGAATGTTTAAGATACCTTCTATCCTCACAGTCAAAGTTGTGAATTCCTTTTTTCATATTGACTTCCTTCTCATAGTTCTTTTTTTCATCCGACTAGTCATTCATAGATTGCTCACTCTAAGGACTCTTAAAGCTATGTTCTCCTAGATCATCTTTTCCGCCAAAAGTTCCTCTAGTTTTGCATGTTGTTCCTTTATAGTTTTAAAGACTAATTGAGATTGACTCGCTTTATCACCTATGACTCGCCGTGGATATCTCGTCGAAATATGAATCTTCTTAACACACGGAGGAAAGTTTCCGCAGATAAATTGTCTGCTATTTCCAAATATATTGCTCTTGTTGTAAAACATGTGAATAGGACAATTCATTTTTTTGATACTCCGCTCTCGGTTTTGATTGGAAGATCTAGATATTCCAAACCAACATTTACTAACTGCAAAGACTCTTGATCGATTGATTCGCATCTCCGTAGATTCGACATGATGAGGAACTTGAATAGTTCCACTGACCATCGTTTACAACCTGTGCATCTGTTGATAACGCGTTTAACTTCAGTTCGGCTCTTTGGTATCCAAAATTTGCGTCCCTATTCTCAGAGTATATGTGCCGTTCCATCGTGATATAACGCCTCATGCTATTGCCGTATTAGATGCAACTTCATTATGTAAACTTCATCATGTCTTGATAAATAAATAAGATGTTTGCTTCGCTCATCCAATTCTGAATTTCCTAGACGACTTAGTAATTTCCATAATTTATCCTCTCGTAACATAAGTTCCACTTCTTCATCTCTTCTTCGGTTATTGTCTTTGTTTGCGCTTGTTTAATTATGATACATTCAGCTAATTTATGATCTTCGGCTGTTAGTTGATGTCTTTTGTCGACAGCGGATTTAACCATGATAATTTTCCTTTTGTTCTTTTAATAAATTTAAGAACTCAAATAGTCATTTTTACCAACTTTGACCAATTGCTGAGTCGACTTGCGTCGATGATCCAAAAGCTCAATTTTCTGAGTCGTGACTTTTGCAATGATTCGTTCTTCTGTCTCGTTTTTGTATTCTTTCGTAGTCTGATATTCCCATTGAGACCATTTAATTTCGCATTCTCTCAATCATTATGTCCTTTCCACCATAATTCGTATTTCCTTAGTTTTCCAGGAAAAAGCCATTTTGTAGCAACGGTTATGCATATTTGGCATATATCGAAACAAAATTTTTGCTTTTCGTATTCTGTACGAATCTTGGCAACGATTTTAATGATTTTGTATTCAATGTAGCGCACATTTCGAATCCGACCATAGGGTTATTGGACACCGTTTAATTCGAATTGCTGCGTAACGAACTTTACTGCTCGTACGCCAATAAGTATCGTAAAAAAAAAATTTCCAATTGAGGTATACTCATTCCTTTAATTGGAGCCAGTTTAGATTCAGCGAAAATCAAGTGATGCTTCCACTTTGTTGTTAACAGCACTGCTGTTAAATATGCTACACTTGAAGCGTCGATGAAAACATAAATTTGCATTCGTGTCGCAGGTTTTGTGTTCGTGTTTTGCATTTCGTTTATTGCTACTCGTGTTATTTCGATAACATCTATTGGTCATTTTTGATGGAAGACTTCTACATTTTTTCGTCCTCTTCGTTTAGGATTTCATCGGAAGTTTTATTCTTTTCCCATAAATCTTGAAGAAATTGAGTAGTATCATTGAATCCTAAAGGATCACACTGAAAGGCCACAAATCGTAGAATGTTTGGTTTTGTAATCCCCTTGTGGTGGGTTTTTCTGAATCGTGGAGTGTGATATCGACCAATAGCCAAAGTGTTGTCGATCGGCTTCCTAAGATCCGTTGGGCTGCTTTGAATTGGGTTGTGTTGTGTTGTATTGGGTTGAGTTGAGTTGGGTCAGGCTGAGTTGCGTTGAGTTGATTTGTTGCGAGAGGGTGAGTTGAGTTGGGTCAGGCTGAGTTGCGTCTAGTTGATTTGAGTTGCGAGAAGCTGAGTTGCGTTGAGTGGAATTGAAGTGAGCTGTATTGAGTCCACACCGGATTGTAAAGTCTTTATTGAACATAATGAATTAACTGATTTACAATAGGGTTTATATGCATTAGAGAGTGGGAGTGGTTTAAAATAAAAAGTTAAAAAAGGGGTATTCATTTAGACACAAAGGAAACTGTAAAGGTCCAATTACATAATAAGCATTGTAACAAAAACAGAGGGAAGATAAGCATGCAAATTGGACATTCTTTGTCATCAAAATAAAGATGTGAATTTCCGTTAGACAAAGGTAACAAAAAAAACATATGGGAGATAATTTTAAAGGATGTAAATTGGTTTAATGATTTACACTATTGTTAACATTTATTTACAACAAGAAATTTATTTGTTTGTTTGGGGTATGGTTGGAGTCTCGCGAATCGGAATTCGCGACACTCCTGCTCCATTTTAATCATATCTTTGTATCCAAGTGATGCCGAAAATTTTCGTTGGGCCTTCTATGATTCGGTCTTGCTTGACTACCCGTTATTGAAGCTTTCGTCGTT